TTATGCGGAGGCTTGTCATATGGTCGAGAAGAGATGTCTAGCATATTTGGCCTATGTTTGTGATTCTAGTGCGGAGGTTCCTTCCATAGATTCAGGACCTAATGCGCGTGAGTTTCTAGAGGTGTTTCCTGCAGATCTGTTGGGGATGCCACCCGGCAGAGATATTGATTTTTGTATTGACTTGGCTCCGGGCACTCAGCCCATTTCTATTCCACCATACCATATGGTGCCACCTGAGTTGAAAGAATTGAAGGAGCAGTTGCAGGATTTGCTTGATAAAGGATTCATTAGACCTAGTGTCTCACGCTGGGGTGTGCCAGTGTTGTTTGTGAAGAAGAAGGATGGTTCCATGAGGATGTGTACAGATTATCGACAGTTGAACAAAGTCACCATCAAGAACAAGTATCCCTAACCGAGGATTGGTGACTTATTTGATCAGCTTCAGGGTGCCAAAGTGTTTTTGAAGATTGATTTGCGATCTGGATATCATCAATTGAAGATTAGGGCATCGGATGTCCCTAAGACAGCTTTCCGGACTCGGTACGAGCATTATAAGTTCTTAGTGATGTCATTTGGCTTGACAAATGCCCCAGCAACATTTATGGATTTGATGAATCGGATATTTAAGCCCTATTTGGATTCTTTCGTGTTCATCTTCATTGATGATATTTTAATCTACTCTCGCAGTCGAGAGGAGCATGAGCAGCTTCTTGGGGTGGTACTTCAGACCCTGAGAGTTAGTAAGTTATACGCCAAGTTTTCAAAGTGTGAGTTTTGGTTGGACTCGGTTGCCTTTTTGGGACACGTTGTATCTGCCAAAGGCATTAAAGTGGATCCTAAAAAGATTAAGGCAGTTCAGAATTGACCTAGACCTACTTCAACTACAGAGATTCAGAGCTTCCTGGGTTTGGCAGGTTATTATCGTCGGTTCGTGGAGGGGTTTTTCCATCACAACCCCATTGACTAGATTGACCTAGAAGGGTGCCCCATTCAGTTGGTCTGATGAGTGTGAGTTGAGCTTTCAGAAGCTTAAGACTGCCTTGACTATATCTCCGGTGTTGGTATTACCTACGGGTTTGAGATCCTATATTGTGTATTATGATGCATAGAATATTGGGCTTGGTGCAGTATTGATGCAGGATGGCAAGGTGATTGCATACGCGTCTCAACAGTTGAAGGTTCATGAGAAGAATTACAATGTTCATGACTTAGAGTTGGCAGCGATTGTTCATGCATTGAAGATTTGTAGGCATTACCTCTACGGTGTGTCATATGAGGTGTTCACAGATCATCGGAGTCTATAGTACTTGTTTAAGCAATAAAATCTCAACTTGAGGCAGCGGAGGTGGTTAGAGCTGTTAAAAGACTATGATATCACCATTTTGTATCATCCCGAGAAGGCCAATATGGCGGCTGATGCCTTAAGTAGAAAGATTGTGAGTATGGGTAGCCTTGCATATATTCCAGTTGGTGAGAGACCGCTAGCATCAGATGTTCAAGTTGTGGACAATCAATTCGTGAGGTTAGATGTTTCGAAGCCTAGTCGGATTCTTGCTTGTACGGTTTCTCAGTCTTCTTGTATGAGCACATCAGAGAGCATCAGTATGATGATCCCCATTTGCTTGTCTTTAAGGACACGGTGCAGCATAGTGATGCCAAGAAGGTTTTTATTGGAGATTATGGGTGTTATGGATGCAGAGTCAGATTTGTGTGCGCAATGTGGATGGGCTTCGTGAGTTGATTCTTGAGAAGGCCCATAGTTCGTGGTATTCCATCCATCTAGGTGTTGCTGAGATGTATCAGGATTTGAGGAAGAATTATTGGTGGAGAATAATGAAGAAAAATATAGTTGTATATGTAGCTCAGTGCCTAAATTGTCAGCAGATGAAGTACGAGCATCAGACGCATGGCGGTTTGCTTTAGAGGTATGAGATTTCTGAGTGGAAGTGGGAGCGTATTACCATGGACTTCGTTGTTAGGCTCCCGCGGACTCAAAAGAAATTTGACGTTGTATGGGTGATTGTGGATAGATTGACCAAGTCGGCGCATTTCATTCTGGTGGCACTTACATATTCTTCAGAGCGATTAGCTGAGATCTATATTCGCGAGATTGTTCGTCTGCACGGTATGCCGGTATCCATTATTTTTTATCGAGGCACGCAGTTCACATCGCATTTCTAGAGGGTTGTACAGCGTGAGTAGGCACGCGGGTTGAGTTGAGCACAATATTTCACCCCCATACGGACAGGCAGTCCGAATACACCATTCAGATATTAGAAAATATATTCTGCATCTGTGTTATGGATTTCAGGGTTCTTGGTTGTTGAATTGTTTATATTGATTGAAATTTTTTGGGGAGTAGGTTGCACGCCGCAACGAAAATTTAAAGGTAATGAATTGAAATGGCGAAATAAAGACAGATTATGATAATGACAGATGATGATATGGTGGGATCGGATTGCACGCCGCAACAGATTGTATATGTGGTATTTGTTTGTGATTGTTTGATTTGCCTCGGTATTTTGAGATGCGTTTATGAGACTTATTATTCTGGGCTCTCTGGTAGTTGGATTTCGAGTTCGTTTACATGAGTTAATTACTTTACTTCCATTTTTTGTTTTTCCTGTTATTACTATTATTGCGTACAGGTTATTGTAAGTGACCCTCCCTAGCCTCGTCATTATTTTGTTGAGGTTAGGCTCGACACTTACAGAGTACATGTGGTCGGTTGTATTCATACGACACTCAGCACTTCTTGTGCAGATATCGAAGTGGGTCCCAGCAGCGACAGTGAGATTGCCCCGATCCAGCTATCAGTGGAGACTTGAGGTATAGCTGCATGGCGTCCGCAGCCCTGAAGTCTCCTTCTATGTCATCTTAGTTATTTATTTTGATCCAAACAGTTATATTTTATTCAGACTACTATATGTAGTACTCTAGATGCTCGTGTAATAGTAACACCAGTTTCTGAGATTGTATGTCGTTTATTAGCTTGTCGCTTTATTTCAGACTACTCAATTTTATTGTTATCATTTGATTTGAATTGTTAAAATGGTTAAAAATGTAGCTAATATTGACTTGCCTAGCAAGTGAAATGTTAGGCGTTATCACGATCCCGAAGGCAGAAATTTCGAATTGTGACATTAATACTACTGCCTAATTTAAATTTCTACCCATAGATTTATAGCTTTGTATTCAATAAATGTTCAGATTGTTAAGGAGATAGGAGGAAGAAGAACTATTGTGAATCTTTACATTAGATTATAGTTGGGACTTATGTCTAGATATATGGGTTTGTTATACTTTTAAATATTTTCGGGAGAAATTTAAAAATAGCCAGATTTACAAATGGTCATTCAAAAATAGTCACAGCTTCAAAAGTAATTGAAATTTAGCCATTTTTTATGTAAAAATAAATCTGAACAAAAATACTGTTCAGAATCCGGAAAATACTCCAACATAATATACTGGAGTTCCAGCATAAGTATACTGGAACTCCAGCATATTATAATGGAGTCCCGGCATAAGTATACTGGAACTCCAGGATAATATACTGGAGTTCCAGTATAATATGCTGGAAGTTCATACATAGGTACTCCAATGTCTAGTATATTATACTGTAACTTTTTGCGTGTTAGAGTTCCAACATAATATGCTGGAAGTTCATACACATGCGCACCGATCTCCAGTATATTATGCTAGACCGGTTCCTGTTGCAGCAAAATAGTGACTATTTTTCAATGAGTTTGCAAACACTGGCTATTTTTAAATGACCAGTCCGAAAACTGGCTACGCCCGTACTATTTTTGCAATATTTTCCTGGTAACAAAAGTGTACTATAATTACAAAAAAAAAAAAAAAGGCATAAGATTCTATTGAGGTTTCACTATATGGTCTTTCTTTTTCCTTTTTTTTATAAAGAGTGAATGTTTTTAATATTGTTATTATTTGAACTAGTCAGTCAGTAAAGTTATAAAATGAGGGGCGAAGTGGGGAAATAGTCACTTTTAAACTCGCTATTTAAAATATATTCACAATTTACAATGTATATAAAGATTAGCTAATTCATCCAAATTTCAGGACTAAGTATTCTGAATTTGAAAATTCAGGACTTAGTGTCCTGAAATTTTGAGCTGCTAATTTAAAATTCAGGACTAAGTGTTCTGAATTTCTGAACTATTAATTTAAAATTCAGGATATAAGATTCGAACTTTATGACACAATTTTCGAACTTTAGGACACGATGTCCTGAAGTTTAAATTTTGAGGTTTAAATTCTAGGACGGTATGTCCTAAAGTTTGAACGAAATTGGTTAATCTTGAAATACATTATAAACTGTGAATATATTTCAAACAACATATTTAAAAATGGTTACTTGGTGTCATATCCACTAAAAGGAGCTTTCTAGAATGTTGAAAACCACTATCCAGATTGAAAGATAAGGAAGGCAACTTTAGCTGATCTCTTATCTATCTAAGAAAACGGATATTGGGATGCCTATTGAATTCTTCCTTCTAACATAGTCGGGGTCGGTTGGGGAATAAAAGTCCACCGCTGTAAAATTGAGGAAAAATGACACCACATGGCCAGTCGGTTGATTAATCAGAGCAAAATGAGCCGACTCCTAACATATTGCCCACTATAACCATTTTTTTTTTTTCATTGTAGCCAATACTTTCTCTGCAACTAAGCCTCTTCTTCCTTGCCTAGCTGGCATCCCCTTCACGCTGACATCACCATCCAACCTCCTCATCGATTGCCCATTTGGCTAAATATTTTTTATATTAGCCAACAAAGTGTACATGTGGTTGAATTTCACGTATATGGAGTAGCATATATTTATACATTCAGTTCCCCTGGGATACAAAATAATCTTGAGTACGTTATTTCACAACTCCTATGATCACTACAATTGAATTACGGTATTCCCTACGGATGAACAAGGTGGTTTGATGAATAGGAAGATTGAAAATAACAAGAAAAGTTGACATTATCTAAACAAATTAAACAACTTTCGATTGGTACAAAATATGAATACACAAAAATTAAACTGAAAAAAAAAATGGCACTACTTAACTTAAACTAGACAAGTTAACATGTTGGTCTTTCACAATCTTGTGATCACCTTAATTAATACTCAACGGCTAGGAATAGTTTATTAATTGGCCAATCAGTTTAAGTCTACATGAACAATTAATTAGACTCTGTCATGTTTAGTTTGTTAATTATTGGCTACAATATGAACTATTCTTTCTTTTCTGCCGAGTCCCATTTGTCATCAATGGAAGAGAAGATGATGTCCATACTATTATTGCTGCTACTCCCAGAATAATTAAACATGGCGTCAGCCATATCCACCACCGGCAACTGATAGTCAACTTCCCTCCCATATCTACCACCGGAGGGCCCCGCGCCGCCGTCTCTGCTCTCCACATTGCATATACTAGCTAGTGAACCACCAGTACTGTGCCCAAAATCCCTGTAAAAATACGGATTTATAGTATTGAGGGTAGGTTCAATTGAACTCATTATTTTCAACATTACCATACACACATCTATATTGTGAAAAATCAGTAAAAGCAGCAAAACAAATCAAGTTTTGATCCTAAAATAAAATAAAACCCTTGAACCATTTTATTTAATAGCAAATTTGGCGAAGTTTTTAGTAAGTTAAAACTGCTTATGTTAGAGAATAATTGAGGTATTTGGCCAAGCTTTTAATAAAAAAAAATAAAGGCTTTGAATAGTAGCATAAGTACTTGTTTTTTTTAAGCTGAAGAAAGTAGCTTTTCCCCGGAAACATTTTTTGGAACTTTGGTCCAATTAATTTGCTATCCTAATTTTGGCAAAAGTATTTCAAACTGATTAGCCAGATACAAACGGCTATTCTTTAAAAGTATTTTTTCAAGAAATACTTCCGAAAAAACCACATTTAAAATAAGCAGATCGTGGAAACTTGGCCAAACATTATATATAAATGATTAATCATGGATACACCTCTATACCTTTGTATGTGAAATGGAATAGTGCTTGTGCCTTGATCTCTTTGTGGCTTAATATCCATGGAGAGCCAATGCGCTCTTAAGGAGGCTGAAGTTGGTGGCGGCAACGGCAGAGGTGGTGGAAGGATTGTGGTGGTTTGATGAGTTATCTCTTCCACTGACGGAGGAGGCACGGTGGGAGCTGTGGCGGACATATAGCAAGTGTGTTGAGATCTGTATGTTACTTCAAATACGTAAGGATCATTGTCAAGGCGCTGGACTTGCTTTTTGGCTGGACAATTGTATAGCTTTTGGTGGGTGCATCTATAATAAGCCCTAAAATCATCAAAATTACATAGTTAATGGATTTAAATATATACTATTAAACATTAATTAGTGCATGGTGTACTTTCGCACGAAAGTTAAACTCATAGTCAACTTACAAATGTTCTTAAATAAAATCATGGAGTAACTTTGTATCTTACAGCTTGTGTGGAATATGGTTGTTATCTATTGTGTTGTATCGTATTGTTACTTTAAATATAATTTTTTTTATATATTTTTTAAATTTTATTGTATCGTACCGTTAAATTCGTCATTACGTTGTGACAAAAAAATATTACCTTATGTAACGACGGATTTGTTGTGATCACGTCGTTAACTTATTTTTTCCTCTGATCTTGCGCTTCTTTATTATTAAATAATCTTATTTATCATTTATCCTACCTTTTTATATAACTAGTCTTAGGGTACGTGCTTTGCGCGTGTACCCTATCTCAATAAGTATAAAATTTTAAAATAACTATGTATATCTGACGTGCAATTATTTAGTATCATTTCAAAATTATTTCTAAAATTTGATGTTGAGATAAAGAGTATAATAATTACAGATATTGAAATAATTTATTCTAATTATAATATTTATTAGAATGTTACTTATATTTTGGTACATAAACTTTCTGGAAGGATCATTTGACTAAAGAGTAATGGACATGTTATTATATGCCCGGATAATCAAATAAAATATTTCACAAAACTTACCTCAATTTTTATTTTTTTTACTAATATAATTAAATTATATAAAAATTTGGTCTTAACTCTATAATCGATTATAAATCTATAATCTATCTATGTTATTATAAAAGTACTAAGGCCATGCGTGAAATATTGATCAATTATTTTACTTTTTAAAAAATAGATTTTACAATAAAATTATTATTTAATTATTTTTTAATAGTTAGGACTTGAAAATTAAATAAATTTTTCCTTATTAAATATATTTCCTAAATCCGAACAATGTAGGAATCCTAATATTTAGAACTTTAAAATCAATTAAATTTTACCTAATATAAATCTCTTATCTTATTTGAACTATGTAATGTAACTATAATATCTTTCATGTTAAATATAAAAATGCATATCTTGTTTCTTCCTTTTGAAAATCTGGGAACTTTTTTTATATATATACTAAGAGTTTCGTGAAAAATAATTTTACTAATATAATATATTTTAAAATTCGAAAACAATTTAATTGGATTCTTATGCTAATTAGTTCATTCAAACACTTTATTATTTCTTTTCAATGTTGAAGAAAATAAATTTTTTATTCAATTTCTTACTATTGGCTCATCTTTTGTTTTAGTATGTTTTAAATTTTTTTTTTTTTTTTTTGAAGAAATTTATACCTAATGTCTAGGACTTCTTTTCCGTTAATGTCGAGGATTCTTTCTATGAGATCCTAAGAAAGCACATCAGATTTTGCTCTAACCCAAAATGTCCATCATTTATAATTTGATTACAATTATGAAAAAATCCTTTAATCTATATCCTGTTGGAATTAACACAAGTAATAGAAAAAATTTACAATAGTATCGTTATACATACAGATACAAAACTAACTAAAAACCAATTTAGCACCTACATATACTAATAAAGTAGTACTGAAAACCTCCAAATCCTAAAACTGAACGTAACTTTCCTACATATACTCCTACGTATAAAGTGAGTAGAAAGTGAAGGAAACTTTATTAGTGTAAATTGAAAGCGCCTGAAATTTTAGAGTTGAAAGGAATTGAAAAAATAAATATTACAAATAGAAAGAGAATAATAAAATGACTATCCCTAAAAAGCATGAATTAATTAAATAACTATTCCTAAATAGTAGAAAATTAATCAAATGACTATTCCTAAATAGTAGGAAAATAATCAAAAAGACTATATTTTACCAGGGTAAACTCTATTTTTTAAGGGTAAAAAAGGCGAAAGACATTTCGCTAAGGGCTTTCGTGCTTTTAATATAGTATAGATAGGTAGATATAGATAATTCTACCTCGTATCATACTTTATCTTTGTAATATTACAAGTTTATTCTTCATATTGCTGGTATATTATGAAACGACGATAAATAATGATCCAATCTATCCAAACATGTATTCATCAAAACAACACAATACAATATAATACCATACATCCAAACAAGCGGTTAAATATATATAGTAGTTTTTATACCTAGGGGCTGGGGGAAGAAAGGAGCATAGAAAAAAAATACTCCATTAACAAGAGGATTTAACGGTAGTTTAGATGCATATCATTCTAGAATTCGTGAGAAGTCTTGAGGGTCAAAATATATATCCCAGTGACTCCAAAAAAGTAGTTGTATGTGGAACAATATTGGTCAACTGTCAAATATCCAATAGGTATTTTGTTTACTAAATATAGGAAAAGTCGCTGAGAGAAAGGTCTATAAGTTCAAACTGATTAGAGTAGAATAGTACGTAGTAGTATCTTTTTTGTTCCTTATCTGGCTTTTAAGAGTGAGTAATCAAGACTAGTTCTCTATATATGAGGAATCCGATTTCCTTCCTATTCTAATCCCATTAGTCAAAGTTACGTTGTTCAAACTAACTGTTTCTATCTTGAATTTCTACTTCAACTCAATGGTCGTGTACTCGGTGAAATAAAAATGGATATAGTTATATGGTTTGACCCCTTCAAATATTACGGAAGTAGACAGCTTGTCCTTAGATTTTCACGTATTTGGTCACATACTAATTATAATTGAAAAGTTAAAGAATAAGAAAAAGAAGCACATATTAAGTATATTATTACTAGCAAATTATAAATTAAAGTATGAAAATTAATTAATGAATTTACCTTGGGAACCTAGAACCAAGGATCTCTTTCTGACCATATTTTCTCCAAGTATAACCATCCTCAGGTGGAAGTTCAAGATTTCCCATTCTAGGAGCAGCCACCCTCACTGTTCTTGTGTCTGTATCACCCGGTCTGCACCTTCATCAAATATCCGAGAATAAAACTATACACCTAGCCACTTATGTGAATGTGCCACAACTAGACAATATTATCCTGAGATTATAATGATGGGATTATATTACCAAAACTAAATAGTAATGAAATTATTTTGAAGATATATTTTTATTGGGAGATATTTAGTTTATTGAATTAAAAATGGGATACACCGGGATATAATATAAAACATGTGTTTGGTATATACTCGATATGTTGGGATAAACTTTATTTTCAGTTTTAACCTTGGATTTTATAAAGGACTTTAGGGGGAAGAGACTTAGAAAAGGGCATCTTTGTCATTGTAGTGGTTTATTCCAGGATTATTATCGCATCCTTTATCTGGGCTAGAATAATGCAATACCGCAATTGTGATATAAATGAATCCTAGAATTGCTAATCTCAAATTTAAAAATCCAACCAAATGTGGGATAAAATAATTCCATATCTACTCTCGAAATTATTATTCCTTATCCCACCAATCAAACGACCCTCGATTATTTGTTCTAGTTATTGATTAGAATTATACCATGCAGAAAATTAAAGAAAATATTTTCGTTTTCTTTTAGAGCTGACATATTTAGATGGGATGCTGGAACAGTTGAACTTGGAACCGCTTTCATGTTCATCTTGATCTATGGACTTGAAATCCTCATATTTAAAACAAACTGGAATAAATAATTTAAAGTTTATTTTTCTACTGTTTGATTTTTTCTGGTAAATCCTACTGTTGGATTTGATCAACAAAAATATTTGTGTTTTCTTCTTCTTTCTTTTCTATTTGCGAAGGAACTTCTAATGATACCTTTTTACTATTGTTTCTTCTGTGTAGCATATGACACACCATTATTTAAGCTTATGACTGCTGATTCAGGATTTAAATTTCATGAGTTCAATATTTAAAGTTTTTAATATTGAATCATTAATATTTTTAAAGTTATGGTTTTATATCTACTATTTTTATAATTTTAATAAATTTTCACGTAAATTTATGATTCGCTGATCAAAAGCTATTGGTTCAATTGAATTCGGAGGTATAATGCTACATCAGCTTATGACCAGAAGACCTCATTATGATGTGAACCACTCTATCTAGTCATACTAAAATAATTGTATACAAATTTCTGTGCATACACATTGTTGTCCCCACTTCTGATTATATTTTGTATGATAAAATGCACAATTATTGATTTTGAACTTACATAATGATCTCCTTTTCTTGGTAATTAACGACAGAAACTTGGAAGAAAATCATTGTATGTTGACATTTTTATAGGTTAGTGGTAGCCCCTGCTGTTGAGAAAGTTCTGTGGAATTTCTTTGGAAATTTGATAAAGCAGAGATAGAACTGTATTTAAAAACTCTTTTCCTGTTCACAATATTAAAATAAAAAAGATATATATACTGTACATTGTGTGCGCACCCTTTTCCACTGATGTTTCAAACTATATTCCATCGCATAGCACTAAGGGCTGGTTTGGTTCGTGAATTAGTGTTGCAGGAATTATAACGAAGAGATCATTAAATATGTTGTGAATAATAATTATGTGTTGAGAGATTATTATGTAATGAATAATTGTAATGCGTGAATACGTTGAGGCCCTTAACAATATATTATTACCAATATATCACACGTAATATTCTTGCTCCATATATATTTTATCTCACACGAAATAATATGCAGATTTCTTCACAAGTTTACAAGTATTAGTAAAAAGAGCAACCTTCAGAAATCACGTGGCAGTTAATATAATCAAACATTATATTAGAACTTATGCAAAATTCAATATATGCTGGAATTGTTTGTGTTAATGCAGTAAACCACTAAGTAAAAAGCTGTCAAAAGAGTGAAGTTTCTTACCTTCTTCGTTGCCTTTGAGAAGAGGAAGAAGAAGAACCACCTCCTCTACTCGAATCAGATACACCCACTTGATCGCTTTCCTGCGCCAGCGGCAGCCCATGCACGGCAAATGCTGCCGTCGCCGGCCTCTCACCCAGCATCTCTGCTGCATGGAAAAATTCTAGTGCCTGCTGATGATGATGATGATAGCTCAATCTTTCCTTTACATTATTAAAAACCGCAACGATCTCTTCGGTTTTATTTAAAGTGAGATGGGGTTGATTTGCCCAGTTTGGCAAGTTGGCTTCAAGCTCTTTAGCTAATTTACACCCATAAAGAATTGTAGCAGTTGTCTCGTCCATATGTATATTATATCTTTTTAGCAATAACTCGGCTTTTTTTTTTGTCAAATGTTTTAAGGGTGTTTGGTTCAAGANCGGGGGGGAGTTATTTGAGGAGAATCTAAGGCAAATGGGTGGGCTTGCTATATACTTATGTTGGTGCTGGTTAATTTGAGGAAAAGAACAGTGTGTTTTCAAAGTATTTGTATGTGTTAAACACGGTAAGCATACTAAGATTTCATAGAAAATAAAAAGAAGCTTAGGAAAAATTTATTATATGACCAGGTCATGGTCTACATAACATAAACTGAGGTTTTTTTTTTTTCTAAGGTCTACGAGAAGACCGGTCCTCATTGAAAACCAACTTTTTGGACCATGGTGTTATGAAGAAATTTTCCCAACTTTGAATATGCGACTTCCTTTTCTTACTAGTAGTACTAGTATGTTTTATAAAATTAATCTAATTTGATCGGTAATTAATCTCTCTATATATGACATTCTCTCTAATTTCAATGTCCTAAAATTAATGTTTGACGCCAATCTAATGCGAAATGATGTTATACAATTTTTACAAGTTTCTAGAATAACTAAATTCATTTAATAATTCAACTGCTTACGTGTGGTATGGAACTTTTTGTTAGAATTATAATAGAATATGGGACGAAATAATTAGGCCTTGATAGTGTAGTCACTGTCCTTAAGGAATTTAAGCCTCCCAATTTCGTTGCTGCAGGGATTATGGTAGAATTCCTCCAGGATTTTACAAAGCCTCTGAAATTCGAGTTTCAGCAACTAACTCGAATTTCCCACAAGAACGAAATAGTTGTGAGTTGTAGAAAATAAGTAGAAGAGAAAGAGATGAAAGTTTCAGATGATATCGTTTTGGAGATGAAATAGGTATTTATAATACCTCAAGGAGTCTGTTGGAATTAACAGACTCATCTCTTCATAACATGCACCTTTTAAAACAATAGCCACCTTCTTTTAAATTTAAAAAAAAATATTAAAACGTTTTTTTCTGAAATTAAAAAGCCTAAAAATATTTTTAATTAATCAAATAATGCGTGGCTAAAATATTAATTCGGGCTACTTAATTTGCTCAAAGCCCAAGTGCCCAAGTGCCACATCTTAACTATATAGTTAAATTTCAGTTTCCCTCCAAAACACCCTCAAAATATTCAAATTATATAAGACAAAGAAATGCTTTTAAACACCTCTTCCTTCTTTCTTTTCCTATGAGGGACAAACAACCTCTTCTCAAATACTCTCATCAAACACTAACTAATCTAACACTTTTTCCTATCAAATTATGTAGTGTTTCATTCACCAATATTATTATAAATACATATAGTGTCCATTAGCATTTTAAGTTCTGATCCAAACAAATGATATTAAGTAATTAAAATGAATTTCTCGTTAAAAAAAATGCTTAATGGTGAGTTTAGTGGAGCGATTAAATTGCTTTAAGTTTCTCAAGGAGGACCTTTGACCCCTATATCACGACCATCTTCTCCATCTGGAATGCTTTTGACCCTTTGCGGCAAGCGGTTGAGTCATGGGTCCCATCATCTTTTTTTCCTTAAAAATAAAAAAAGGTAACCACTTAAGTCTTATGTTGATACTTTAGGTAAGATATATAGCCCGTTTGGCCAAGCTGCAAAAATCAGCTTATTTTGAGAAGTGCTTTTTTAAAAAATGCTTTTCTCAAAAGTACTTTTGGTGGAAAGCAGTTTGTGTTTGGCTAATTAATTTGAAAAGCACTTCTGAGGAGCAATTAGTGTTTGGTCAAGCTTTAAAAAACTGCTTCTAAGTGTATTTTTCTCAAAAGTGCTTCTCAAAAAAATGTTTTTGGAGATAAGCTACTTTTTTCTGCTTATGCTTCTCCTCAAAAGTACTTTTTTTCCTTCCAAAAGCTTGGCCAAACACCTCAATTTTTGGCCAAAAAGTGTTTTTGGCCAAAAAAAAGCACGTTTGGCCAAAAAGAAGCTTGGCCAAACAGGCTAATAGAGCCCTTAGATTAGCTGCTTATACATAGCTGATAACCTTGAAGTGCTGAAAAGTATTTTTAAATGCTAAAGTTGTTTTTTTAATTAAGCATTTATGTGTTTGGATAAACGTGTTAAAACTGATAATAAACAGTTGATGTGTTTGGCACCCTTTAATTTTTTTATAAATGATTATAAATAAAAAAAATCTTTGTAAAGAAAAGCATGAACAACGAATAGGGAACAACGAGAAAGTTAGGAAACTTATATTAGGAAAAGTATTTTGTGAACTAAAAATATTATTAAGGATAAACTAGTAAAAATCTTGGTCAAACTACAAGTGCTTATAAGCTTAAAAGTCATAAGTTAGTGGTGATCAACTTATGACTTATGGCTGATTTTAGCTTATAAACACTTGACTTATAAGCACTTTGGATGTTTACCAAATGTGTAAATAAGTCAAAAAGGTGCTTATAAGCTAGTTTGACCAGCTTATAAGTTTGGCCAAACACCCTCATACTATTACGTGAAAAAAAATTACAAATGGAAATCATGTTTCGAGCGCAGAGAGGTAAGTGGACATTATTAAGATTATAAGAGAAATCTATATTCTATTTACCTTTCCGATAATTAGTTAATAGTTAGTTAGAGGCTGCACTATTCATTTTGATAGTTAGTTGTAGCTATTAGTTAGAGGTCGGTTAGTTAATTGGTTAGAGATTGATTAGTTGTTGCTTAGCTGTCATTAGCTAATCTGATTGTATATATTCCAGCTTATGCATAATTGAAAAGTAATTCTCTTTTCACTCATTTGAGTGCTCCACTTCTGCCTTAGCTTCGATCCTTTGGAAGCTTCTAACTGCTTCCGCCATTGTAGGCTGTGAAGCTCTCTAAGCTTGTGCTTCTTCAAGTTTAACATGGTATCAGAGCCTTGCTCTTTTGACAAGACGATTCACTAAAACATAGATCGCAATCCATTGATCTCTTCACATTCAAAGTTAGGTCTCACATTTCAACCCATTCGATCGAGGATCTTTGTGTCCTCATTTTCTCAGTCAATCAACTTTTCTTATTATTCAATCATGATCTTGAGCTAAAGCAAACATGGCAATAGGTGATGCAGACACTACGAACACGACAACAGTAGAAATTCAATCGACGATCGATGTGAGTAGTTCATTTTACATTCATCCTTGTAATAGCCCTGGGTTAGTTTTGGTTCCAGTCCCTTTCGATGGACTAGGATATCGTTCATGGAGGAGAGGTGTATTGAGATCTCTCTGTCTTAAAAACAAATTAGGCTTCATCACTAGAGAATGTGTGAAACCTAATTCGAATTCGTCGAGTTTTAGGCAATGGGAGAGGTGTGATGACATGGTAACCTCATGGATTTTGAATTCACTTGCAAAAGAAATTGCAGATAGTGTGAAGTATGTGAACACTTCATTTGAGCTATGGAGATAACTTGAAGATCGTTATGATCAAACAAACAGAGCAAAGTTATACCAGATCCAAAAGGAGATTAATGACTTGAGCCAAGGAGTGCTCGACATCACTGGATACTACACTAAAATGAAGAAGTTGTGAAAAGAATTGACCAATCTGAGTGCTAAATCAGTAAGTAACTGTCAGTGCACTTGTGGTGCAAAAGAGAACATGCACAAAGTTGAACAAGACAGGAGACTGATACAATTCCTAATGGGCTTGAATGAGGTCTACACTGTAGTTCGAGGGAGCATTCTGATGATGAATCCCTTACCATCAATGGCACAGGCTTTTGCCCTTCTAGTGCAAGAGGAAAAGCAAAGAGAGTTTCGACCCAGGAATCAGTTGAATTTTGGGTCTAGTGCAATGAACACCAGCATTACAGCTCCAAGATCATTCAGAACAAATTTCTCAGTGAACAACAGACCTAGGACCTATTATGACTTCTGCAAGAAACAAGATCACACCAAGGAAAAGTGCTTCAAACTTCATGGATATCCACAGCAATTTAATCAACAAGGAGCTCAAAGTTACAACTCAAACAACTATAATCAGTATCCCAAGAACAATAGAGGAAGGAACATTACAGCAAATGATGTGGTTGGTGCACAAGCTATGCCATCTGATACAATGTCAAACCAAGGAGAAGATCTAGAGAATCAAGGAGGCAACAACAACCATAATGTAAACCTCTCAAAGGAGCAATATGATCAAGTGGTGATACTCCTGCAACACTTTCACAATGATGGAACAGGGGACAATTCAAACACAAATTCAGCCAATGCAATAGTGAACTTTGCAGGAAATTTTGCAGGTATTGTGACTTGTACTTCTTCTATAGATTTTGACAAACTATCATGCAAATGTTTTCAAGCAAAGGCTGACTTATGGATTCTGGACTCAGGAGCCTCACACAACATGACCTTCAACAAAACACACTTACATAACATAGTTACTTTACCCTATCCTTGTGAAACTGCCAAATGTCTACAAAGTCAAGGTCACAGAAATAGGACTCTTACACACAAAATAATCCTATACAAAGTTCTATTTGTCCCAACTTTCAAATACAAACTCATTTCTATTAGCTCTTTGACAACATATCTCAAGTGCCTAGCCTTCTTTTCTAACACATGTCGTTTTCTGCAGGCCCCTTCTCTGAAGAGGCCTCTGGAGATTGGTAAGGTCCATGATGGATTGTACCTTCTCTGCTCAGACTGTCTAAATAAAGGAAATCCTACAGCAGTAAAGAAGGATGCAGATCATTCTACTACAACACCTTGTTTCTCTCATTCCTGTCAAACTAGCCCATCTGTAAATACTCAATGTGTTTCTTTTCCCTTTCATCCCAGTTCCACTGTGAATACTGTGTCTCCACTTCCTATTGTAAATAATTCTCATTTCAATAAAACATATTGGGACTGTAATTCTGAATCCCTTTCAAATGATGTGAATGATATGAACATGTTATGGCATAGACTTGGTCATGTACTTTTTGCAAAGATGAAAATGATATCCAATATACTAGCAGACTTTGCACCAAGACAACCC